GCATCAAGGAGACATAACATGAGCCTGCGTCAGTGGTGGAGTGGAATCTTCCCTGTTAACACCCTCCATCTGCTGTACTTAGAAAAGCACAAAGCTAACAGGCTAACACTAAGAGAAAAGCACTGTTTCTCTTGATACCCCAGTGTTGTAACACTTGTGCTGGCCCCATGCTAAGTGTAGTGTCTGTCTGTCCACTCCTCCTTCAATCTAATGGGAGCGCATCGGAATGTGAAGACTAATCCAAGCAGTTAGAAATGTAATTACTTTGACTGAATGCATCATTACTTGTCCTAATTTGACATTGTGACTTTTCTGTTAGCCTACCGCTTCAAGTTAAAGGTTCACCGTGTAACTTTTCTAGTAGAGGATCAGATACCTGTTTGTCTCCTTGGATGTTACTGCTTTGCACAAAAACATCAATACATATTACAATTAATCTTGCACATTACGTCAAGCAGGTGACCGGTCAGATCTGAGGTGACTGACTCGTGTTTTTCGAGGTATTTACACAGCATAGATAAATTTAGTACCATACTGTGGATTATTTCAGGCAAAGCATTAACATCATGGAGATAAGCAGGCGGCAGACCATCCACACAATTAGAAGTGCACCTTTAAAATATATTTGTTTAATCAATATGTTTTGGTATTTAAATTTTGTATTATGTGCTGTAATACTTATTTCTCCTCCATGAAACTATTATTGATTTCAGCGAGGAGAAAAAAAATTATATAATTTTCTTGGTTCTTGGTATAAATTTTTATCAATTTAAATGTGTTGTTTTGTACAAATGTATTATGTAATATAAATTTTAGGTTCTGTAACTGTTTGTTTGCTGCGTGTACACTGCAAAAAGTGAATATCTAAAGTCTTAAGTAATATAATAGTCTTAATTAAAATGATTAATTAAATTCAAAATAGCAGTTTGAATAGTTCCGACTTAATTTAGTTGGCTTAAATGACGTAGGATTTATCTAATTTCATAACATTTATCTTTAAAAAAAATGCATTATATTGTCAGAAACATCTTTGACAATTACAAGGCAATTACAGCAATCTAGGTCCATCAAGTATAACTCAAACACAACTGCTCAAATGAAGCAATTTTCCCTCATCTAGACATCCCTTTTTGCAGTGCACGTTTGTTTTGCACATCTCGGAGCGGCGTACAAATCAAACAGCGGTAGCGCAGCTGAGAAAAGCCTGACAGTGGTGTAAGCCTTGCATTTCAAACAGGATCTAGGTGCGTGCCACAAAAGAATGTCCAAGGAAGTCCTCCATTCACTCTGCGTCCATGTAATGTGATTAAGATCCGCTTTGTGCCAAAGGCAGACTGCGGGAGACTGAAATAGGCCCCTGGTTCCTGCAGGAAAAAGGTGGACTATTCACAGAGTTAGGCCTGTCACGATAACACATTTTGAAGTGCGATATATTGCAGAAGAAAATAGTAATAGACAATAAATGACACAAATTAAATGTATGACTCAATAAATAGCAGAATTATCCCCCTCAAAAATATTGTAAATAAACAAAATTGATAGGGTAAAATCAATAGCCAGACCCAAAAATAAATAAATAAATAGATAGATATAATATATAATTTCTATGATGATTGTGTATACAACCTCTTCTTAAACTTCATCTGTTTCCAAAAAATTGTCCCAGTGCATTACATAAACCTGACATAAATATTTGCACTGATATACGGTTCATCCCTATGCAATATCACAGAGACGTTTCGGAGTGTAACTAAATATCTGGGAATAAATAAATAGCAGAATGAAACACTTCAGTGGTTGGTTTATATCTATAATAAGTCATAATAGTTATTTATTCAACCAAATCTTCTTGCAGTGCAGAAGTTTTTTCAGAAAGGTCCCCACTAATACAAAGAAAAAGTACACAATATATCATTTACTGAACTGAGAAGGTATAGTAATTATCGTGACAGGCCTACACAGAGCTCCTCGGCTGTAGGGAGTTTGAAACAAGAGCGGAGAAAGAGCGAAAAGGAGGAGAGGAGAGAGGGATGAAGTGACCCCCAGCCACACTCGGATGATAGGACCTGTAAATACATCATTAGCTCTGGCGGTTTGGAGATCCGCGCTTCTCTCGGGAGGGACGTGGCGTCACCGCTGGGCACATGCGACACTTGGGGAATGGGATTTGACGGCGGGTTAAACTACGGGACCTATGACAGAAGCGGAGGGAGGGCACAGAGGGGGCGTGGGGAGGGCTGAGGGGTCAGAGGTCAATGGGAAGTGACACCCCCCGAACTCGTTACGCTCGTTAATGGCCGCTCGAGCCGTGCCATTTCGCCGCAATGATATTCCTCCTCCGCTCCCTAAATGCCTGCCCTTGACTGGCTAATACCGGAGCGTCACTTCGGCAGGCAGAGAGGTGGAATATCTAAACGGAGAGAAGAGGGGGAGAGAGAAAAGGAGGAGAAGAGAGGAGAGGCTGGAGCTGCAAGAGAACACAGAAAATGTTATGGGGATTCGGACTACTGCGCTTTTGCAATTTGTTTTTGTTGGGTACTACAATTTAGAACCTCATTTGTGACTTCATGAATAGGTCCAAACTTGTCATTAAAAACAAGAAACAAAAAGGTTCATCACAAATCTTGTATTTAGAACTTTTTTCATTAAAACTTTCCTCATGTTTTGCTGGCTTCTTTAATAATTATGTAATCTTGCTATTTACAAGTTAACACAAAACGTATTCACCCTGAAGAACTATGTCTAACTGGTGGTATATATTTTGTGCAATCTGAAAATGCATACCTGTTACATTTATTTATATTACACATTTGTAAAAGGTACTTACTATGCTAAATCCTAGATATTATCACTATGGTAATTTGTACTTTCAGTGACAGTTATAATTAGATACATAAAGCAGCAACTCCTTTAGACATTTAGTCATTTAAATAGTTTTTCCTTCCACAAACTTTACTTAAAGATACAGTATGTAACTTTCTGGAGCTGGCATCTTATCTACATCATTGTTCCCCAAGGCCTAGGTCACGACACTCCTGCACGCCGGACTGGAATGTGCTACAAAAATGCAGACAGGCCCACCTATCTCATTAGAAATGTTGACATGTTTTGTATAATTTCTAATCTTTTTGTAATTATTTTATTGACTATTTTGTTCCAATATTGCTGGTTCACTCGAATGTTGAATAGAAAAAAAGAAATGGGCTACACTTAATGTCCAAATAGGCGACTTATGGATGACTGTTTTTCATTGCTTAAAACTTGAGTAATACTAATTGTTCAGATAGACATGATCACTCAGTCAACAATAAAACATCCTTATTAATGTTCAATAATGGTCAAATCCACTTTTATTTTATGATTTACGAATAATGTCTATTGACCTGGGCCGCGAAGGTTTGTCACTTTTAAAATATGGGTTCCCAGAAAAAAAAATTGGGAAACATTGATGTATGGCATAAGACAGGAGCAGTCCGGTTTATAAAGATGCAAGCCTGCTGACAGTAAAGATGCATGTTTTTCTATGTTTTTCAGTGCAATACAATTTAAAAACTGCTTTTATTTTTGTCTGCTTTTAGCAAAAAGTTACATACTGTGGCTTTAACAGTAATCACTGCATAGCATCAAGGAAGTGCCAAGGAATTATTGGTGTAAGTAATGATACGCACCTAACAAGTACAAGTAACTGCCACTAAATATACCAAGGGATTACAATCTGTACTCTAGTGTAGATGTCTAGTTTTATGCCACATTCAGTGTATATTAGTTTAATGCTTCAGACAAAGTGGCAAAAACAAAACTAATTAGATTGCAATATAAAATGTTTGCTTGCGTCAGTAGCTAAGTGGTAAACTAGAAAGCACCGCAAGCAATTACTCCTGTTATGGCTGTTGGAAGCGCTATTTTCTGTATGTTGTATTAAAGCTGTCACAGTGCATTTTAGGAAAACAAAAAAGGTTAATGTAAGGTTTACTTCACTCTGGCCCAGTCCTTAAAAAGAAATGTGAATTTAAAGTGCTTTTACAGTGTTTTTGGCTTATGCTTCTTTCAGTTTTGCATTACCTGTAAAGTAGAACAGACATGAGACAGAAAAGAGAGAAACAATTTGGACAACTTCAAAATGAAAACATATTTTTGGAGCATAAAACATCATTACATTACTTTGTGGGTATCTTTCTCACTGAGTAGCCTTATTTACTGATCATTATTGCAATACCTATGCTTGCTTTTCTTGAAAATTAATTTAATACTATAAATAATATAAATAAGGACAATTTCTGACTATGGACAAGTTTCAGAAGACATCACAACTTCTCATCATAATGTCTAATTATTGGTTGTTTGATGGTTCAAACCCTGTTCAAGCTACATATTTTGCTGTTGTATCATTTGTCAAGATGACTATTTTTCATGACTTATGATTTATGTAAATATTGTTATTATTGCAATTAATCACTGCAGGCCAACAGCTTGCATTCACGTTCTAAAATCTGATGTCTGGTGTCACAGCTCGTCTACGAGAGATTTACTGTTACTGAAAGAAAGATTCACAAAAGTCGATTCTTAACAACAGAAACACAAAGATGCCATTTTAATTGCATGTTTTAAAGTCACTTCAGTTGACAACAATAATAATGACACCTCTTTCTGAAGATATAATTTTGTTTTTGTGCCAGTTTTTGATTCATATGAATAGCCCCAGTAATTGCAAAAATATTAAACATAAACCAGGACAACTAATCTAAGTAAAGGCTGATTGTTTCTTCAGCTCAATGTAAAACTATAGAGATTCTAAAATGTTCAAATGTAATGTGAATGCAACCTTTTCATGAGTTTAAGTATCTTGTTTGTAAAATATTCAGTTTTGAATTGTTAATCACTATTGACATTTTAATCATTTAAATTTTCATAGTTCTAAAAACCATAGATTGTGATGTCTTCTGAAGCGCAGCATTAACACAGTGTTTGGAGTTGACAGTGTGTCGGTCTTATGTTCTCACCAATGGTACAGTGCTCTCCGGTCCAGCCCTGGTGGCAGTCACACTTGCCCTCGCGGCACACCCCGTGGTCGATGCAGCGCGGGTGACAGTCCCTCTGCTCACACTCCGGCCCCGCCCAGCCCTCCTCGCACTGGCACACCCCTCCTATGCACGAGCCATGGGGGCCGCAGTCCACCACGCACACCTCTGAAATGAGCAAAAGCATGGGGTTGTGCTGGGTTTACACAAACATTACTCTAACTGAGAAAACTAAAATCTACATTAGTTAAAGGCGCACAGTATGTAACTTTCTGGAGGTTGCATGTCACCTCTATGACTCCATGGAAATATGGAAAGTTAAAAGTCAGATCAGTGGAGATGTGACTTCATTCGCAGTGAGAATGCCTGTTGTTCCAGGTATGTTGGGGCAGTAAATACTAGTGTTGTAATACTTGAAACTCATCTTGGTCTCGAGACTGGCCTCGGTCTTGAAGGTGCTTAGACTTGGTCTAGTCACAGACTTGTAGTCTAATTCCAGTTAGGAACTTGACAAAACAGGTTTAAAAATCCTATCCACTTTCTTCACTTTCTTTACAGTTTTCTGTAAAGTACCAGTGGAAATTATATTAATTAAAGGAGGGGTTCTCAAACTGTGGGTGAGGGTCTTGATTTGGTGTTGATGGGCTGTGGTTTTGGTCTTGTCTCGGTCTTGGGCTTAAAAGGTCTTGGTCTTGTCTCAGTCTTGACCCTCAGAGGTCTCAGTCTTGTTTCGGTCTCAGGACACTGTGGTCTCGATTAGTGTGTAGTTGAATATGCAAAATATAAATAGTTTTAATGCCATACTGTGGAACATTCCAGGTATAGCCCTAGCATTTCAACAGAAACAAGCAGGTAGTACACCTTTAAGATCACTATTTTTGAATGGTTAAGATGGATTTACATTGTCTTACTGGTACTCTTCTTTGGACTTTATACAGATGTCTAACTAGTTAGAAGCCGAAGTTTAATGTAGGAGGATACTGATAGAAGATACATCAGTGGGAACATTTACATGTGAACAATTACAAAGAAATAAGATTATTCACATCAGATGTAACTGTTTACATGACATTTAAATAACTTGATAACTCCAGAAATCAGATAAAGGTCAGACTTATTTGGTTTGCATAGCATTGTTTCAGCTACAATTTCATACGCCTCCTATGTTCTTCATAATGTGTCTTTCTCACATCTAATCATTTTTCAGGTAAGATGAGCCAATTACAGCCATTTATAGCTGCAGTGTGTCATTCAAATGTGGAAGACATCTCCTCCCATAAGAGCCAACCTTCTCACCTCTGATTAACAACGTTTACCGCACATCTGAGTCACCTGTTGAGTAGGTGCCGCTGCTCAGTTTTCTCTGAGATTTTTCTAATCCATTTGCCATTTTAAAAGCATTTATCTATTTGACATCTGACATTTGAAATAAAACAAAAAAAAAACAAACTTTAAAACTCGTCTCCTAAGATAATGCACACCTGGGTTTTGATACAGTTCTGTAAAAATGTTTTTAAGTGTCAAGTGAATCAAGATTGCTCTGATGAGAAATAAGTTGTTATCTTCTCTGGTTAACCTGCCTGTCAATCGGCCCAGCACTAAAACGCTCAGGGAAAGATATGATGTTATATAACGTTGTTGGTTAAAATGGATTATGCGTCCTGCTATCGTTACATTTTTTGGTTTTAACTGTAAGTGAAACTAAAAATTGAACTACATAAAGCACAGTAAAAAAGTCAAAATGTTACACTGCTGTAGTGCAGTTTAGTAATCTTACAACCTGCTTATAGAAGGCACATACAAGTTTGTCTCATTGTCAGTATATGGACAGGCCACCATGTCCATTGTTTTTGTAATTAAAGGGACAGTCGGGAATTTTGGACGTAGAACCTCATTTCCAAGTGAGCCAGAGTGTTGGAGACATGTGGAGACACTTTTTTAAATATTCCATCCAGTCCTTGCATTTGCAGAGGTCGCTGGTGCTCGGCTAGAGCATGTCAATGGCCATAGTTATCCTGCTGCTAAAAACAGTCTTACCCACTCCACAAAACACCCGAAACAAATCTATTATTACGTCAGACTGACGATGTGAATGTCTGTGTTGATAGAATAATTTTAGAAGTAAAACCAATCTTGCATTTGAAGGATTTGCAGTGGAGCAGCAGCAGTGAATTGTACTTCCTGATAGAAAGCATGGCAGTGGCCGAGTGATATATGAGAAAATAGTCCCTCAACATGCGATGCAAGGTTTAACCTGCCCCCCAGCTCCTGAGCCCCTCTGCCCCCCACCACTTGAGCTGATCCTATTATTCAATCCTCAAAAGTTGTCATGGCAAATAATAACACGTCTGCATCTTATATTTTGTAGATTTTTTCAATAAAAATTATATTTATATGAAGTATTTATATTTATATTTAAATTATTATAGGATGCATTTACGTTTGCTTCCAAATTTTCATCTCTTGACAAGCTCGAGGTCAAACAGTTTCAGTCAACGCATGTGCAGAGTTCTGTAGTGCTGTTAAGGACAGCAAAATGCCGAGTGTTAAAATACGAAAACTTGACAGAGAGAGCCGAAAAACAGTGGACGACCGATTATTTTTGTTCAGTGTAAGGACCTGCAGTTTGCCTGATATGCAAAGAAAGTGTGGCTGTTTTCAAAGAATATAATCTGCATCGTCAGGGTCTTACAATTCTGTTATACCGCCTACCCAACCCCGGACCCCCATTACTGTCAGGAGAGATAATGTGGTCCCCAGAGAAAAAAGTTCGGTGACCCCTGCTCTAAACAAGCAACAAAACTGTAGTGCTGTAACAAAATAATTTAGTAAAATATACCAAAAAATACTGTTGGTGATATATCAATACAGCAGCCCATGATGTCAATACTGTATCATCACTTTAAACAATAAGATATATCGATATTTCAATATTTTTTTCACATCCCTAATGATTATGATTATGCCCAAGTCAACATTGTAAATACCAAATCGTTTTCACGTAAACATAGGTGAAACACTGAATACCGTTTAATAGTCAAAGTACGTGTCAAACAATGTAGTGACATACTTTATCCACCAGGGGAGGCAGTGCCACACCCACGCCCCCGCACTCCCCCACTCACAGCCAAACAGAACTGCGGGGGCAGAGGCTTTGTAGTCTGTGAAAAGCCTTGTTGTTGATGCTGCGTTTCTCTATTCTGTAAGATGGATATGAAAGGAGCCACAATTGCTTGGATCTTTGTTGAGAAGCAGTGTCTCCCGTGGATATGAAAGGCCAGAAAGTTTAACAGTAAACAACACTTGTAGCAGTATTATTTTTTTTATTGTACAGCGATTTGTTGTAAAGTCTGGCTGGATAACAGACATGGTTGTGCAAACATTGTTAATATTACATGGAAGATTGCTTATTGAGCAGAGCCGCCATATGGTTAGTTAGCAAACACACGCTCTGGTCTGTTTTATATTCACAGTTGATTGGACGCCCTTCGTGAATCATGAAAAGATATTGACATGGATGCAGAAAAGATCTAACATTTGCTGAGAAATTACTTTTATCAGCAAACGTGTTTCTGTTGTATGAGAAAAAACAAACAGAGCATCTTTGTTAATTAAAAAAATACCCCCTAAAATATTGAAAAACATCAGAAACATAGTGGACTCTTTCCATATGGTGTAATGTGATATTTCTGGAGCTGCAACTAACAATTATTTTGATTAATCTGGAGATCATTCTTTAGATTAATCAATACGTTGTTTAGATCGTGAAAAGCCTGTTAGATTTTTAATAAATTCGACTAAGATGGACCTAAAGAAATGCCACTACAGAACATCTACACAGTGTATATTTACAATATGCAGCAAAATTGATTGTTCATTTAAACAAACATACATTTTACATGTTTTCTGTGCCATTTGGGGGTAATTACTGCTCTGTCTGCATGGCATGGTTTCAGAAAACAATTAGCTGACAGCCATTTTAATAATCGATTAGTTGAGATTAATCAGTTCACTTGTTTAAGCCTCAGTTAGTCTTACAGTCCATTTAGCTTTCTGATGGATTGCAAAATAATGATGTTGCAAAGATGTTGGGATAATCTAAAATCCTGAGATATTTATTTGGTATACAAAATATACTATGGCACAGTTCTCCAACCTGTAGCTCGGGAGCAACCAGTAGCTCTCCACCTCCTTCCAAGTAGCACACCAAGGGCTTTCAGAATTATACCACTGTGCTCAATTACAAAAAAATCCTTTATTATATGACTATTATCATTGTAAATGTATAATTTTGAAGGCAAACTTTGTGCACTAATAAATGGACAATGGTTTATGTTTTACAGACATCTAACTGTACCCCAAGACTTATGCTTCACCTCAGTTTTTTTGAGGCCGCTAAAATGAGGAGCTCTTTGGCATTTTCATTTTGTATTAAGGGTAGCTCACCAGAGAAAAAAGGATGGAGACCCCTGGACTATGGGGTCTGATTCCAAAGCCATGTTTATGTAGTGCAATATGGTTAAAAAAAAAAAAAAAAAAAAAAAAAAAAAATATATATATATATATATATATATATATATATATATTTTTTTTATTATTATTATTATTTTTTTCTGACATTGATTGGATTGATTGATTAGACAGATTTTATTTATATTTTCTATTTTCTCTTTTTTTCTTTTTTTTCATTATCAGTATATGCACAGGCCATGCTTCATGTGAAAGCTCAGAACCTCCAGAATTCACTTACTGAGCTGTAGAGGCTGCACTGCCACTGATTCAGAATTGGCTGCAAATGCTGGGGTTTAGGTACTGACCATTCAGATGAGAGAGGAGCATTTTAGCTTTAAACCATGGATTTCAGCGTTGAAACTAAGTGAGATTCATGTGAGGTGCATTCTGCTTCCTTATTGGATCACCATTTGGAGAACCAGAGGAGCTGTATTTGATCTCAACATATCTGGGGACACAGATAGGTCAGGTTTATGAAATTTAAAATCAAAATCTTGCATACGGTCCTTTAACAGAAATATAGCCCAGTTTCTTCCTCCCAGATTTGATTTGATTTCCCAGCCCTACTCTATAGATCCACTAAGTCACACATTCACTCAACACGCACCATGGGAAACACTAAATCTGTTTGTTCGATGTGTATTATCTGCATCTGT